TCTCTCTCTCTCTCTCTCTCTCTCTCTGCCGCTGAACTCTCTGAGAACACTGTTTTGGGGCATATAGAATATTGATATTATATCAAAGTACATTCTTATTACCGAGGTAAGTAAGTTAGTTCAAAAACGTTCAACTAAAAAGCTGTATTTAAGCAAGTTTGAACATCCTTTGGTAAGTAAGTTTAGCTTAGTTTAGTAAGAGTTTTACGGCGCTCGCAACTCTATAAGGTCAAATGAGCGTGCCTCTGTAAGGATACCACATAAATAAAAAGAAACACCCAGATCTTAATTAAGCTTACACGTGCAAGAATAATTAATATGATTTTATTTTATTCACAAACATCTTCTTAACGATGACACCCCCACCCCACCCCACTACCCCTTTCCCAATTGTATCCTTGACCACCCACATGGTCATCCCTCCAGGTGTCCACGATGTGTTCGGAGAGAGTGTTCCCATCACAGGTCCTATCTTGCTGGCTGTTGGGGGCCTCATGCTGTTACTTGCCTTACGCCAGTTCTACATCGCTCACTCCAGGAAGAGGGCTCAAAAGAAAGCGCTGGTAAGTTACTCACTCTTTCGCTTTACTGCTCGTTTTTGTTGTTGGTCTTTTTTTTCTACTAAAGATTCGGTCTATGCCGTCATTAGCTGTGACAATGGTGGTGTTATTTTTTGTCCGTGTGTTGTCTTTGGAGTAGGTGTTGTCGTCATCGTTGTTGTTGTCCTAGACGCAGTTATTGGAATTCCGCTCCTTCCTATCATAATTCCCTATCATTTTTATCACCATCAAAAGTAGTGGCATCGCCATTGTCGTCGTCATTGTCGTCGTAATATTGAAGAAAATATGAAGTCGTCGTCATCGTCATCGAAGTCGTTGTTGTTGTTGTTGTTGCTTCTGGTGGTGTTGGTGCTGTTAGAAAGAAGCGTATAAGTAGAGAGACTAACAAAACATTCACCCAATTTTAAAGAAATTGCTCAAGTTTAATTAAGAAGAATCCATTGAAACATTGCCATACGTTTTAGTACTTACACTGTCTATTTCCTGAGAGCCAGAGTTTCACATCCACGCGGATTCTCTAGGATTTTGGTCGTTTTTAGTTTTCTTTTTTAAGATCTCCATAAACTCAATCTGCATATAAATAGTTCTATAACGGCCAGGGCTATGGAAATGTCAGCTAAGGAACATAACTTTAGGAATAGTGGCACTGGTAGTAGGGCGTTACAGTTCATTTGTTTTTAATTAAATTAATCAAAACTAAAAGATAAATGTGTTGGGTTTTTTCTCTAGCTTCAAAAGTGCAGGTGATGAGTGAAACCAATATGTGAAAGTAAAATAGGTTGCGGGTAGCAATAGTAAATTGATTGAGAAATGTCTGGGACATTTTTCCTCTCCAATGGTGCATACAGCTTGTTTAACACACATGGCGCCGGAGCATGAAACCCTTCTACGCTAGACACCGCGGGACATGGCAGAAAGGGTAAATAATTCCCTCAATAACTACCACAAGCGGAAATGAAACGCGGCCCGAAAAGGAAACCGAAATAATGGTGGTTCGGAAGAGCCGACAGCGCTCCCTGGGTTTGCTATCACGTTTGTTTTGATCTCTCCAATGCACGTGCCCACAGACACAGAGACATTTTCAGATTGTGTGACAAATTATTCATGCTTTCAATTTGTCTCCGAAAAGGCGCCCTGTCGTTGCTTCCGCCGTTTTCGAGGACGACGTCGGAATGTTCCTCTCTCAGACGAGAGCGCTATCTACACTGATCATGGTTTTGGATCTTAACACTTGTCTGTAACCTTTTTTTTTAGGGGGGGGGTATATTTCGGTTTTGTTGTTGTTGTTGTTTTCTTTTTGTTGCTTTGTTGAGATTTTTAAGGAATGCGATTTTTTTTTTAAAAAGGAAAAAGTAAGCTCTCGAAACGTAGAGAAACATAGAACACGTCCATGAAATAAAATTTAACGCCAGATAGAAATAAGGAAACGAATAAAGAAAACTCCCAGTGAGTATTCCAGTAACATAAAAAGTCGTTCAAAAGTAGGTCATAAAAGTAATGGAATTAAACAGGAAATAAAGACCCCATCATAAGCTCGGATATTCAGACATCCCGAGATTGGTTGAGAAATTATTCATATTTTCAATTTGTCTGGGAGAAAACGTACAACTGAGGCTGCAATTTCTAACGTAATCTGAATTTTGAATATAGCCGTGGGCATAGGTGCCTTTTTTTTTTAGTTGGGGTGCAGATTTTGTATCGTGGTCTGCTGGCTGGCTCCAAAGTTAAAAGGAACCAAAATAATTTAACCGTGTAATCAAAAATGGCAAAAATCTCAATTCATCGTAATAAAAAGATGAAAACGAAAACAGAAAAAGAATTAAAGTACGTCAGTATTTATGATTATTGCATTGAATGGAAAAATCTCTAAAACTGAATAATAAACGTGCTGGAAAGGTTGGAATGAGAAAGACACAAAAAGGGAAAAACCAATAGCAACTTGAGCTCGGTCTGTGAATACTTTTTCTCATGTCGAACCTTGTCTAGGAGAATTCTTGCAATTACTGCTGATGGTATCGTTTCCAGAATGTCTGGGAGATTTTCAGTTCTGGGCGGTGCTGGAATAGTGAGGTTTTGTTTATTCATAATGCTGTTGAACTAGACTGCTTTTTGTTTAAGTACACAGCATTTCTTTCCCTGGAATTTCCGATAAAATATGACATGATGATATGAATCAAAACAGTAAGGTCGTGTACTGTGGCATTTGTAGCTAGAAAATTGAAAATTCAAAAGAGTTCTAATGCTAGTAAGAGTAGGTTACAGCTGAACTTATCATACATGTAATCAGTTGTTATAATGCATACAGAGACCCCTGTACTCTCGGATAGGATGACACATAATTCAATATATTTGGTGGTTCATGTTAACGAATTTTAACTGCTGCGATTTCGACAAGCGAAGACAACTTTTCAACTGATAAAAAGATATTAGTTAAACTTGTTTACTATGCATTTGGTCCACGTGTTGACAGGGCACTCTCCGGGCTGAACAGTGAGGGTGGTTGGCGGGCTCTCTGGTTTGCTCTCTGGTTTGCTCTTCTTTTTTTATCAAAAAACATCTATCGTACTGGGGCAGAGGAGGGGGGGGGAGAAAGAACAAGAGAGAGAGA